TAAGCATGCATTATATTTGTATTATTAACGTTATACATAGGTTTATAAAGTATGTATATTTATGAAATTATTCATACATTGTACATAATATTAATTACCCAAAATAACTATTACACACCACGTTCTTAACTTATAAATATTAAATTTATATGTATAAAGTGTCTCCAATATGGAATTGATCAGAATTTTCTTCCTAGTATGTAAGTAAGTTCGATCCTAAAATATTCTACAAAATTTATATTACCATAAATTAATTTTAATCTGAAAATCAACAAAGGTAATTCATTATATACATGAATGCAAGCATACAAATATAAATGCATATGCATCTGTGATATGATTATAAATTTTGATTTATTGAGGTATTACACACTTCCAATAAGCCAGAATAAGGTATATAGGTGAGCTCTCATGTACACACACACTTATACATATTTTAAATAGTATGTCACATCAATTGACGGTAAAACTACAAATTAGAAAAATATGTTTGCGAATTTATTACCCCATTTGCATTGCTATTGTCAAATATTATTTTAGGTTATACTTAACCTATACAGTCTGAACATTTCGTACCAATAAATAGCACATTTTAGTTATACATATATGTGTACATATTAAATAAGAAATTATTTTTAAAATAAATAAAACAATAATAGTCTTATTACTCAGTCACCTTATCAATAAAGAAAAAATGAAAAAAACCTTATCAGCATAATAAAGATTAAGCGTACTCGTAGATGTCCCCAAACAAATTTTAGTTTTGCCGACACAACTGAACTTGGAATTAATTTTATGATTTTTAACACGTACACTTTAATTATTTTTTATTAACTTTATGATTTTATAAATGTATAATTTAAATAATATAAAGAACTTTTTTAAATTCATTTATTCGTTTAAGATTGAACCACTTACTATCATTAGAAATGGATGTGGACTAAGTATGTTTTTAGATTTTTTATGAATGAATATGGATACATATATACATACATAATTCTTTACACAATAATATTTGCCTATGCTATACATATAAAGGAATAATATTCAGTTTGTAACTAATGAATGTTAATTACAATATGACATACTTTATCGCTTCTAAATTTCACAATGATTATTGTAAACGAACATAATGTGCACGTACGTGCAAATTTTTCTATTTTAAGTATAGAATTTTTATAATAAAAATAAGGTATAGAATGAAATTATTATTATAATAATTATAATAATTATAATAACAACAATAATTTGTATATATGTATATATATTTTGTTCTTTTCTTTACGTTTTTCGCTACACAACCAATAACAACGACCCGCTACAGCTAAACGTCGAATATAATTTAAATGCGCGCGCTACAATAATAAAAATGATATTGTTGATTGTTAAGCTTTAGTTTTGAGACTAACTTGAAATATAAATTGTTATGTATTAATTTTAAACAGTTGTATTAACTTTTTTTTTGTCCAGAAAAAGCTAAGAGCTTTTTAAATTTTTTTCAGTTTGCAAAAAAAAAAATTATTTATTTTTGGTATTTTTGTTTTGAAGTATTAAGTTTTGAGCACTACAGCAATTCTTTATTAAATATTCGCTATATACACTTGCTTTATTATTATTACATTTATATATTATATGTATATACAAATATTTTATATTAAATTGGTATAATTCTAATTTCTAATTAAAATCATTAACAATAATAATTTATAAACTTAATTTTTTTATTCTTCAATTACGTAAACACTTAAGCATGTGCTGCTTGAATTCGCTTCAATTTAAGACTGAACACATTTGTGAGACAAAATATAAGCAAGTATAAATTTATAAGTAATTATGTATATACTATAATTTTCTGTGGTTTGAGGAAAAAACTGCCTAAGTGAAAAAAATGAGCTTTGAGTAGGTATAAGTAATTTTGAACTTAGTAGTTCAGCTGATTTTGTATTTATACCTTCACTGGGTGAAAAGAAAGTAAATGAACTAATCGTACGTACTAAAAATATGAATACACTTTTTTTAAAGTAATATACCATTTAGGTAAAAAAGTAAAAAAATTTAAAGTGATAGGATTTAATAATTTTGTTAACCAATTCTAAAAACAAAAAAAAATTTAAAGAAAATTAAAGTAATTCCCAAGAATTTGCTTGAAACAACAAAATACGTAAGATAAATTATCGAAATATTGAAACATTATATCTAAACTTTTAAAACTTGATGAGTGAACTTAATTTTAGTTGGGAAAAGGGTATATCTTATTTAATATAGAAAAATTTGTTTAAATTTCAATACTATGCGATATGTAGTAGCAACATTTCAAAATGCTAGCTTTTTAAACGATCTTAACTAAATTTTCACAAGTTAATGTTTTTGTAAAACAAAAATAACACAAAAAAAATTTTAATGGTGTTTTACCCGAAATGGAAAAAATGTAGATATCATGTTCTGAGAGAAAACCCTAGATATACACATTTTCTTAGAACCACTATTATTATTAAAATAAAGTAATTAATTTAAATGCAAACTTTGGTATTTGTACTTTATGATACCACAGAAATAATATCTGTGTAGATAAGTCGAATGTAAGTGAGTATACATATATACAGAAAATATGAAAAATAAAATTTTTTGTGCAGCTTTTAAGTTTACTGATGATTCTTACATTTATTTACCTACGATTTAAAAACAAATGCAAAAGACAAAAAAAAACATCTAATTTATGTTTTCTATGGGGCAATCCCAATATTTGTGTATAAGCGTGAAATGTATATAAATATGTAAATTTAAAAAGAAAAAATGATAAGATAACGTTGGTTATACATAACGTTGCTTTAAAGTAGAATATAACGATTACTCTTTTGTAGCAGTGACCATGATCTAGAATAGTGAATTAAAAAACTTGAAGTTATTAAAATTTTAACTTAGAATTTTAGCTTCAAAATTCTTAGATATTTTTGATTTAAATTAGAAGCTTCTTGGTTTTGATATAAGCATAAAAACTTATTGGATTTCAATTGAAACCCAATTTTTTTCCTAAATAAACGTCCTCTTTCGAGATCCTTAAAGAAGTTCTTTGTTCATTTTTTTTATAAAAATATAAAATTTTCTAAATGTTAATTATTTGTTATAATTTTTTAATATACATATGTACTTACAGAAATTGAAATTTATCTTCAAGCAAACCTATTATTTTCTTCGAGTTTGTCAAATCAAAGCAACTCCGTAACTCGTTGATAGAATCATCAAATCGAAAATTATCTCAAATCTTAATTTTATCGTATTCGATTAATTTGTACTTGAGATACAGAAGTCACAGACCGACAAACATTTAATTAAAAAAAGCTATGTAGCTGTCCTTTTCAACGGTAAAGTACATTTCCGAAAAAAATCCATAATCGTATAATTTGATCGTGTCAAGCTTTAAATCCCGATACATAAATGGCCTACCATATGATTTTGTATTCGCTTGAAATTATTTCATAAGAAGATTTAATAAGAAGATTTGTATAAAATATAAAAATTTGTAATTTAACAAATATGTACATTAAAAATATTTTACTTCACTTTTGAAACTTTTCAAGAAAATATTCAAAGACCTTTAAATTAAAATGCTGGTTAAACCAAGTTAATTTACATAATTGGAGGATTGTTTATTTTTAAACATGTGAATAGATCTAACTTCTTGCATTATATTAAATTACATATAGATTTTGGGACTGTTTCATAACCTAGGTTTTTTTTTTGTTTTTAATTTGTACTTACTATCGTTTTACTTGAATCGCAGTCACTGAAAGAATACTTTACATAGCCACACACATACATATAATACGTACAAATATGATATAAACAAGTACACAAAAACAAATATAACAAATTTTTATTTCTTTATATTTTCGATTAAGAACCCTTACATTACAAATTTTCAATGAATTTTTAAATTTCAATTTATATTTCTAAAATTCTAGTGAAATGATAAGGCAGAATATCGAAGATACTATTATAGGTAATAAATGTAAAGTAACATTTAAAGCTCCATGATAATAAAGCCATTATGAGATAGCTACACTATTATATCGAATAGATACGTCTACATACATATAGATAAGATAATTAACAATGTCAACTGGTTTCAGTATATGCTTTTGCAAATTTATCTCATAATTGTATAAAAATAATATTTTTAATAATCGTATATCGTTGGTTAACTTCCATAACACGCTAATTTAAAAAAGAATTATTTTGAATAAAAAACACATTTAAAATTTTGAAGTTAAAAAAATTCGAAATTTTCTTTATGATCTAAACCTACTATAAAAATAAAAATTTGAGTTTTTATGTATACGTTCAAAACTTTGAATTTTTAAATAAATAGGCTAAAAAATAAGCATATTTGTTTACTACATTAAAAAACTAGTTCAGAACTTTTGACTTTTTTTGAATTAATATGCCTTTTAATTTAATTTTTTTTTAATTCAAAACTAACTTTTCTTAATTTTTCTGTATTGAATTCCAAGACCTTCCGCTTTGAACACAATCAAGAATGTGAAACCTAACATTAAAAATATAAAGTTCAAAAATAGATTTCTTTTTAAATATTAAAATCAAGCGAATCTTCCTAATATTTCATTATGTGCTAGATGTATTTTAGGATAGTACATTTTAAGGTAGCGATGATGAGATTTAGATCTATTCACAGGATTACGAAAAACAGCAGACCAGCATACTGAAATTTTTCAATTCCATTCTTAATAGTATTGACTTTGCAGTGTAAATTATTGCAACATTTATTTTGGCATATAAAATGATCTTAAAAATATTTAAACGTTGTAATTAAATTCGACGCCATTTCTCTCTTTATTTGTTTCTTTAATATCCGTTATAAATTAATAATTTTAGGTTTATATATGTAAATACATATATATATATATATATATATATATATATATATATATATATATATATATATATATACATATGTTCAAAACATAAATAAATATGCGTATAATAATAGGAAATAATTCTAATAATTTATAATCTTTCAGAACTTATACCACTATTTTGACTGCCCCTTCTATCTTCAATTTCAATTCGTTCTACTAATTCATTAAATTTAACCACTGATTTTCTTCTTTCACCACCGATATCACCATTGGGTATCGTTCCTTCTTCATCACATTCAAAATTTTCATTACCAGAATTATTTTCATAATTATCATCATTTTCTTTGTGATTTCGATCATTTAATAATTCTAACATTCTTGTTTGATAATCAGATGTTTCTTGTGTTGTCGTTCCAGCAATTTTCATTGTATCTCGTTTTACATTATTCGAACTTTGTGTAGATGAATCTTTCTCAGGTTCAGTTGAATTAGTTTCTAAACTAGCAGCAAAAGACGAAACTTCTGAACGACTAGTTGAAGATGTTTTCTCATATAAAGCTTTTCGGAAATAGACAACCCATGAGATAAAACCTTAAAAATAGAAAAGAATTAAGTTTTTTATGTTTAACAGTCAGTAAGTTTTAAACTGTACTTATACTTATGTATTTTATATTACATATAAATTTCAAAAAGGATTCTAAATGTTAAGTTTAATTATAAGAATATGCAAAAACTATCAAGTTTATCAAAGTCACACAAATTTATAATCTTGTATAAATAGTCTAAGCTAATACTATACTTCATTACTCTAATCAAAATAGTATTAGTTTAGAGTAATACTTTGTTATTGGATATGTGGATAAAGTTTTGTAAATAGCCCTAATAGAAATAAATTCATTATAAATAAATAAATAAAAATTTATTTTGTGATCTTCAATTCATTAAGACATTTGAAACTTAACTATTTGGTTATAATTCAATAAAATAGTTGTTAAAATATCGCGAGCAATCTTCGTATAAGCGTCGAAGCTTCAAGGTGCTTTGAATAAGACTTCATCAAGCATTTTGAATTTTCTACTTGTTTTGGAATGAGATTCATTATATGTATTTACAAAAGTACATTTTCCAGCATGCTAAAGTTCAATCTATCAGTTAATAAAAAGAGTTTTTAAAAAAAATTTTGTATATAAAAATAAATAACTAGTACTATATGTTAGAAATAACCCTTAAACATATTAAATTACACCACCACCCATTTAATTATTCGAAAGTTATTCACCTAAGCATCCTATACAAATTACTGATAAAATTACAATTCCAACTATAAAAGCAGTTACATCACGACTCGCGTCAGCATATTTTACTGTATCTTCATAAGATGCAGCTATAACATCAGAACTTCCAGAAAGCTTCCTATTTAATAGAAAACAAAAGTATTAATAACTACTTTAATTTAAAATTTAAATTAAAGTCTAAATAATGTATGTCACAACAATTAAAAACATATGTACATGCATATGAAAATATTTACTCTATAATCTTATCACTTTTCACGAAATCAGCATTTTCATTAATGGCATATGTCCAAACTTTTAATGTTGTTTTTTGACTATAAGCTGGTCCGAAAATCCTATGTATTCTGGCTATCATTTGATGTAATAGAGATTGTTTATTTGTAGCTGTTAAATTAGGGACAGTGGCCCATTTCAACGGTATTAAATCAAATCCCTTATTTTTACTCACTTCATTTAATAATTCGTCAACATTTTCCATTTGATTTCCTTGAAATTCTAATAGAATCAATTGATATGAATGAATTTTTTTTACAATAATTTTCACAGAACTATTTAAGCTTCCTTCCATTTCTCCATTACGATCCACAGCATACACAGTTAAGCTGATTTCATTTGAATTTTCCATAGCACCTGAATATGGATATATAATGCCGGTCTCTTCATCGATTCCAAAATCTGGATTATCTAATTTATAACGTATCAAAGCATTTAAACCGATATCTAAATCGGTTGCATTAACTTTTATTAAATATTGCGGAAGGATATTATTCGATACTTCTACATCAGGATAACCAATAACAAATTTTGTATCAGGTGGTGGATATTCAAATATTGGCTTATTATCATTAATGTCTTCGATTATAACTGTTAAAACGGTTTCAACCAACGAACTTTTTATATTTTCGGTTAAAACATAAGATTTTCCATCGTTAAATTGTCCTACTTGTCTAAATTGAGGACGTCCCGAAAGACTGTTGGAGAAGCTTTTGTAATAACTTTGTGTTCTAAATTTTATATTATCTGGTTTGCTATCCATTTGTGTAACCGATTCAAAAGTAAACTGATTGTTGTCAGCAGAACTTATAAATATATCTTTAGTGGTTTCATCAATAAATTCAGTATTTTCAATATTTACTTCTGTACTTGTTTGTGAAATATTTTCACTACTGTTTGATTGCTCAGATGTTGATTTTGTTACCTGCTCAGAAGTTAATTCCATCTTTTCTGTAGCATTTAATACCACTTGTTGTTGATGGGTTGATTCAAAATTTTCAGTTGCATTTAATTTTATAGGATCTGTACTAATGATCGTTGAAGTACTTATGGGAATTGTAGTTGTTGCTTCAGGCAATTTTGAAGTATATTTTATATTTTTAGTTGTTTCAATAATTAATTTAGTTATATCTTCAATTTTTTCAATTTCTGTAGTTGTATCAAAAGTTGGAATTATATTTTCAGTGATAGATCCAGAACTCCTTATTTCTGTATCTGATTCAGTTGTTAAACTTTCTTTTATTTGTGTTGAACTATCAAATAATATTAATTTTACTTGAATTTGTGCTATTAACGTATCTGAAAATATTGGATCTTCCCTATCAACTGATATTAAATCCAAATCGTTATCATTTATTTTAAAGTATTCTAAAACATAAAATTTTAAAATTAATATCATTATTATGAGTTCTTTGTTATAAAGCTTTAAATGTTGCTCACCTTTGTCATTTGGACTAATACTCATTATTTTATAATGGCAATTTCCTATTACAGCTTTTATTATGCCTTTGTGAGCTCTTTCTTCTTCTAAACGTTTAATTAAGAGCGCGTTTTCTACTTTTGCTCCTTCATCACCGCAAACTTTTATTGGTGATATATCAAGTATAACAAATGTATTTCCATATTTTCGATTGCCGATAACATTTGCCCTTACTTCAAAAACATAAGTTCCTGGAGGTGTTGTGGAACTTACTCCTAAACGACCGTCATCATACAAAAGCAATCTAGTTTTAAGTTCATCTAAAATAAATTAAAATCAAATATTTTTGTTTTCTTATCAGAAATAAAATTGTGCTACGACACATTTGCTCTTGATCGCATCAGTTTATAGTTTTATGTTAGGTAACATCTTGAGACCTTATAAAACTTCATCCCCTTTTTCCTGAAATTCAATAGAGATAACTTTCTTCCTTCAATAAGAGAGAGAGGAAAGTTTGTAATTAAGGGTATTAGGGATTTAGTTTTAGAATGGCAACATATCAAAAGTCGTTTGACTAACGTAGTTGACTAATTTCTAAATATTTTTTCTGTTTGATTTAATAATACGTAAATACTAACCGTCTACATTAGCAGTTGAATATTCAATTATTCTTGAAGATTCCTCTTCAAGTATAGCTTTGACCGATCCAAAAATTCCAACAAAATCTGCTTTTATTGAAAACCTATATGTACCTTTCTCGAACTTTGGTACTTTTTCAGGTTCCGGATTTTCTGAAGTAGTAGTAGTAGCAGCAGTAGAACCGTCAGTTGTTGATGTGGTTGTTGGTTTTGAAGTTGATGTTTCGGGTGGTAATTTTAAAGGTGGTGTTGATAAAATAATAGTTGTTGAACTTTTACCACCATCGATCTCATCAAAAATCGCTGTTAAAGTTAATGCAATGTAATTTAATTGTAAATCCTCATCACTTAGTTCACCAGCTAACATAATTTTGATAATACCATCACGTTGATCAATTGTAAAACTATTATGACCTGATAAACCAAATCTTGATCCTAAATTATGTACAGGAATTTCTAGTTCCTCAATTTCTTTTTTTGATATGATTTTTCCTTTATATAATATCTCAGGAAATTGTGGCAATTGTAATTTATTTGGTAAATTTACCAAAATGCCACAGTAAATTGCATCATAACTGTGCTTACGTGCTTCAATTTGAAATGATAGAAATTTTTTTTTAGACCATTCTGCTGGTAATTCAGATTCTTTTAATTTCAGTTCAGCAAAATTTTCAAAAATTTCTATTGTAAAATAATTTGAATTTTCGCCTAATATTTGAAAAAAAATTTCATTTAAATTCTCATTGTCGACAAATTTAATTTGAAGTTTTTCCAATTGATTTGTTTGATTTATTTGACCTTCAAATAATGGTTTCTCGAATCTGAAATCTTGAAAGAAAATATTTATGGAATATTTATATCGAACTATAATATAACTTTTAGTGCTCCAATAATATTGCCATTATCACTTTAAATTAGCATAAATATCACATTTGTTGTACCGCTATAATTGAAAATAAAACTTTAAGTTACCAGGATATAGAAAATTGAAAGAATAACAAAAAACAATAAAGTTAGTTAAAGCAAGTTTAGCTTCAAAACATGCAACTTGCAATTCAAAGGAACAATATTGAAGAAGCATTAATAGAGCCAAAAAGTTTTTAAACCAACCTTTTTTATTAACTGGCACATCAATTATAACATTTGTGGATGATTTTATAATTTCATCCATTTTGGCTAATATACTGATATGGAGGTAATATTTACCATCCCAATTTGCATCATCTTTTAAAATTAACTTTAATTCATTCATAATCACCAATTTATATTCAAACAATTTCCTATCATCACCCTGTATTTCAAAACTATATTGAATATTTTCAGTATTTGCTTCATCTATTAATTTTATAAATTCAATTTCTAATTCATTGTCTGCATTAATTTCTCCTCTGTAAAGATCTTTTTCAAAATATATTTTCTTTATATCTTCCGCATTTTTTGGTATTCCAACAACAATGGCTGTTTGTCCTGGAATTTGTAATTTGGGATTGTGTGCGTTAAGTATGAAAGATAAATATGATCTTTCTTTAACATATTCATCATCGACTTTATTATCTTTTAATCGAATATTTATTTTGTTAGACTCTCTATTAATAGTAAAAAGCTCAGAGTCACGATCAGTAACATTAAATACAATTGTTTCATCATATGTAGTTAAATCTAATTCAGCATTAATTTGTAAATCTTCTGGTTTCGTTAGATTTGTTTCATAAATTGCATTCGTAAAACGTGGTTGCATTGGTAAACTTTTTTGTTTATCAGCAATTAATTTTAATTTAGTTTTTGATGACAACGGGGGATTGCCATTATCCTACAATTATAAAAAGAATAAACCAAGTAAATAAACGAAAACAAAAACTTTATTAATCATATGGGTATCGATTTGGCTTTTTGAACAATTTAATATTTTTCATTTACTTATTTTTAAAAACCTTCCTGACATATCCGGGTGCTATACAACATCGCAAAACCAATTTTCAAAAATAACCAAAACACTTTTTTTTAAGTTTTTCATTAGTAACATCTATTTAGCACTAGGGACAAAGAGCTCCAATGGTAGAATTGGATTTGTCGAAAGGCCTTTGCACCCCGTTTTAAGCTAAAGGAAAAAACAATTTTGCCAGATTTGATGTTATAAATATTATTTTAATTATGGATACATATATTGAGAACTTTATATATGTAGGTCGCTGCTAACTAAGGACAAAATTTGTTAACAATGTTTGTTTAACAGTTAACAATGCAGCCAAGTGTATATGGGGTCAATTATAGTGCAATTACAATAGAAAATATTAATGTGGACTCACAAGCTTCAAAAATTACAAACTTACCTTTGCTTCAATTTCTATGACAAATGTTTCATTAATTTCTGTAATAGCTTTTTTTATACTGATTGCAGCAAAATATGTATGACCATTATCAGCCGTTTCCACTTCTGTGCCTACTTCCAAATATTCATTATCTGACGAGAACGTGATTTTATTATATTTAATATCATGATCAGTTGCTTTTACAACCTAAAACAGAAATAAATATACATGCATTCTTTCAATAATATTAAATAGCAATAATAAACACGAAATATGTATTTGATGTTTGTGCGCATATTCCATTCATACCTTCGAAAAAATGCAACCAAAACCTTTGATTAATGGTAAAGAAATTTGTTTTTCATATTCCTCTTGTGAAAATTGCGGCGGAAAAAGATTTGTTTGACTAATTTTTACATTGAACGTCTACAAAGATTTAATAAAAATGTTAATTGATATTAATTTTCATTTAAAATTTTGTATTTTTACATATATTGACTCGAATGCAATTCCATTCCCGTCACACTTAAAATAAGCTTGTAATGAAAAATCAGTTTGTGTTTCAGTCAGCGTATAATTCTTATAAGCATCTGTTGTAAACAATTTGAATTCCTTTTTATCGTCATCATACAATCCATTTACATACAACTTGTTGTTATTATTTAAACCTATTGTGAGAATCTTTTTCAAACTCATAAAGTTATTCATTTTAAATGCTATTATGTCGCCATCCTTGTCGAGTGGGACTTCATCTGGTAGCTGACAAAATTTGGCTTTCTGTGAAATATCACATTCTAACCCTTCTCTTGGACAAATTTCTAAAAAGACAAAATTTTTCAAACTATTAATAGCAATCTGTGGTGTAAATAACAATCTGGAGTTTGGAGTGTAAAAAACAAACCGATTTTAGTTTGTAATTTTAATTTTTTATAATAATAAATTGAATCTATATATTATTATAAGCTTTCTTTTAAACCTATTTGATGGCGAAAATCGGGATACAAATTATTTTTCAAGTTCCAACTAAAGGGCATATACAAAAACTACTATATAGCAGAACAAAGTTCATAGAAAGCAATGTTTCAAATTCAAAAGAGTGAAAATTCAAATAAGCCTTGTAAGTTTTGTGATGATTCAAGAATAGATCAGAACTTTAGAACCACATTTTAATTTTTAAAATGTTCAACATTTCAAACAATTAGTTTTTTAGATAAACGAAATACTGAACAGGCTAAAATTTATAAAGAGTGCAAATTTGTATGTATAAGTACAGCGGAAGTTTTTCATCTCCATCTCTGGTGAATATTTTTCATACTCATATAGGCATGTTCTCATACTCATACTAAATCTTTGTGTACTATGTATTATTTTTGTATATAATCTAGCTGAAATACGTAATGCGACAAATTTAAGACAATAATAGGTAATTGTTAAAAATTACGATCTATTATTAGATTTGACGTAATAAAAGAGTAGCTGTTTTAGATAACAATTAATTTTTGTTCTCATATCGAAGTTTTCTTTTAAATTTCTTATCTTTCAATATGGTCACATATATGAACACATACATACATACATATATAAATTCACGTATATTTAATCACAAAAGATCTACTTCACTAATTGCATAAATTTTGCAAAAAGAAGCGGCAATTAAATTTTTTTTTATTTTTTTCTTCCAATTATTTATTACAATTAAACCTAATGACTTTTCATGGTGTGTTGGCTAGACATTCAGTGACATCCCCCAAGGAAATATTCTTTTTATTTTAGGATAGATGGACTTGTTATCAAATCAAGAGGATTGTCGAGAAGTTGCAGCATCTCTTCCAACATTTTCATGATCTTCAATTCTGTATCTATGTTTCTGTATCTATGTACATCGTCAGATCTGGGCGATATAGACAAACTGGTTTTATAATCTGCAGTAACATGTTTAATTCCTGTTTTTTCTTCTTAACATGTACCTTCCACCTAAGTTTAGCAGCCAGATACATGTCTAAATACTTGGCTTCATTAGCATATCGTGCTTGTTGGCTATTTAAATAAATATTATTGGACGCACTTATTTTTAGATGTTGCCTCATTCAGTTTGATCCTCCATCTATTTGTCCAGCTGTTAATCAAGTTTATTGATCTTTGTAGTTTCTGATTGATCTTTGTAAATGGCAGTATCATCTGAAAAGGTTGCCATGGTTGTTCCATCATTTAAGGGTATGCCACTTGTATATAGCAATTCCTTTAGTTCTGAGTATTCACTTTAATTTTGACTCGAAAAAATCTGCCAGTCAGGTAGGAGCTTAACAGCTTATCGAACGTGTTTGGTATGTATATATCTTTTGATTTTATAAATTAGGCCTTCGTGCCAAACTTTATCAAACATACATGCAATATATGTATTGATACATCTAAAAACACCGCTGAAAATATTTGTTTTTCCTTCAAAGATTTCTCAATAACGTTATTCTATAAACTTGATCTGTAGTAGAATTTCTGCATCTGAAACCGAACTGATGATTTGGAATCATTTTTTTCTCTTCAAATATTGGTTCTAGTTTATGTAACAGCAATCTTGTATAAAGTTTTGAAATTATTGTCAAAAAATTTGCAAAGAAATGGACTGATTTTTCGAGTTTTTCTCTTATCCTTTATCAGGTTTCTGATTTCAATTAGATAAATCAAGTAGTAATCTTGCTTATTTGTTGTTTTCTCTTTTGCACTGGCCCAGGCAGTTTCTTGTATATTCTCAATATAGGTCTGGACCTGGTGCTACAGCTGGTACGGAGACCTTAAAGACGTGCGCAGATCTATTGAGTTTGCCAGGAGTCTTTTGAACCATTTCCAGTTCATGTTGTTGCCAACTAATCTAGGTGAAGTTTGTTTCCCTATGTCATGATGATGTCACGACTCACTTAATATCATGATGATCGGGGAGTGTTCGAAATTAAAATCAAAACCTTCGCTCATATGTGTATAATTATCAGAAACTCATTTTGTAATGAAAAAATTCAATAAATCAAGAGCTCTGTTAGAATCTAAATTCCTGTAGGTTGGTTTTCACGTTTAATGAAACGAGTTCAGTTGCAGCTTTATAAATAGCCTTTTCTTTAGAAGACGTGATTCTTGAACCCCAAAACATACGTTTTAGCACTTTTCCAAAAATTTTTTGAAAAAAGTGCCTATTAGTTTCACTCTGTCCGTCCGTCCGTCTGTCCGTGTGCCTGTTTCTAAAACTTCTACACCCTTGAAGATAGAAAACTGAAATTTAATACGTACATAGATCGTTCCTAGAAACTTATTTCCGTAGAACAAAATTTTTAACTATCTCCCCCCCTCTAGAAGTTATAACCACCCCAAAACTCTAAAAATGCCATACCTATTTAGTGCAGTGAAACCATAAGCACTTTCATAGAGATGCAGAATCGTGTTTGTAGTAAAATCAAATATTTAACAATATTTAAACAGATATGGGATATTTAAGTTTCCATGTAGGAGAAAAGTTACTCCGAAAATTATAGAAATAACGGTTAGTTTGAAGTTTCAATTCAATACTTTGACATTTCTTTGTATTTTTTTTTGCGTTTACTTAATTTATAAATTAACCTTGGCTTAAACATAATAGTTTGCAAAAAACTTACAATACTTTTGTTTCTATTTTAAATGGTGTAAATCAGAGGTTCCCAAACTTTCCCCCCTCGTAGACCCCTTGTCGTGTTTTTGAATTTTTCTCAATTTTTTTCCAAAAAAAAAAATTTAGCTTCCATCAATGTCTTTTTTCATTATTATTAAGAATTACATCGGAACCTCAAGGCCTGAAATGTTGGATATATTTTTAATAGCATTTTTTTCAAAAATAAGGAAAATTTTCTAACTGGTGCACTCTGTCCTTTTTGAGACAATGAAATCAATCAATTATGCGCACGAATTCTTAAACTTTGCGAATTTCAATAATGACACATTTTGGAAATTATTAAAATTATAAGTTGTTTAAGTAAGATTAACGATAGAAATCGAAATTAGATATAAAAAAAAAATTAATGAATAACTAAAAAATTGGTTGAAAAATTTGAAATGAAAATTAAAAATGTGAACATGTGCTTTGTTCAAATTAAATATAAATGATTTGATTCGAGTTTTTATTTAGGGGCAAAAAAAGTTTAACTTGAGGTCTGTTATTTTAAAAATTGACGTAAAGTTAAATCGATTTTCGCGCTTCATGTAAGGCTGAACAACTCTTTAATTTAATAGTAACAACTATAACCTAAAAACTAAATATCAAGGAATTGTCTTTAATTTCCACATAAAAAATATAAAGCTATCTATCTACCTGAACAAATGTGTATGATTGCTTATGAACTTGAAATGTTATATCATGAAAACATAATACATTTGGAATATTGGATATATATCCCTAAAAAGGACCGAAAACATTATGCACTGACATAGCCAATTCAAAGTAAAAAAATTTACAAATTCAAAACGCAATTTCTTTTTACCATAATTTTCTCTTAATTTGCAGAAATGTATAATAAATACCTTGAGGTGTCACATTTTTAATCCTTATTAATAAAATTTGTAGCAATAGAAGTACTATAAGTTTTAAGATTTGCGTTGATTTCATGAATATTTTCTTTCGTAACTAAAGATCTTCTTCAAAAAATTTTTTAACCAAATAATTCTCCAACAAAGAAATTCAAACTACAACCCGATAACGAATTCGTTACTTTATGTGTAATATTCCGGATAAAAGTGAAAATAATGAATAATTATACGTTAATAATAGTTCGATATCGCGTTAATTACTAAAGAAATTCAAAAAATAAAAAATTGATTTCTTAAAAATTCGATAAAAAAATTTTAAACAATTGAAAGAAAAAACAATAAAAAGTATTTTTACCGACCAAATTATTTAAAATAAGGACGGCATTGTTTTCATATCGAATTTCACTGTTTCGAAAATTACTCTGTGGGTTATATCAGTTTGTTCGTTGTTCTTCGATCACTCCAATCCTGTTTTTCAGATTAAAGACAAAAGTGACGTTTAACTGACGCAGTGATATTTTAATTTTGTTGGATAATAAAATAAATTAACAAAATTGATGAGAGCACATCTATTTGACGAAAAACGAACAATTATCACGAATAAATCTAGAAATGAACCCGCAAGTTTTAAAATGGCTAAAACGCCTCAGAAGTACCTCGTGGAGAACTAAAACATGAGAGTTACCAACGCTGAACTTGATTTAAGAAAGAACCAAAAATAACGTACATATAGAACGTCACGAAATTCAAATTCTCTGGCGTTTTCTATAATGCAGTCGAAATGTATGCTATTCTGTTCGGTTCTAATTTTTAATTTTATCAAAGTAGTTTTATCAAACATTTTTCCACTTCAATATCAAAATTACAAGATATTTTATTTTTTCTGATAATTATCTACATATTATTATATACATACATATTCATGCAATCATACGAACTTATACACATATATTTACATATATGTATACATCACATATGTGTGCATGTAGATACATTTAGTAATTTTTATTACTTTCTTATAATATTCTCTTGCAATCTTTTTGCAATTGATTATAAAACTTGTAATCAAACGCATAACTTTTTTCGAAATTTCTCAAATTATGTTAAATTTCATTAATGCCTTTGTCTTTTAATGTGCTTCTACGCTGCTTGAAACAGGTAAAGTAAAATTTTAATAAACAAATAACTTCTATCTCTTCTCCTAGACATTCTTGTAAAACAAAAAATTTATACATAAAATTATCCACTTTTGTTGTTTGTAGAATTAGAAATATAAACGTCAACTGTACATTTAATTCTGCTGTACGAATTGATCGAAACGCAGAACTACATTTATATAGTATGTATATAGAATAAGAAAATTAAGTCGAAGAATTTCGTATTCAAATTTTTTATGAAATTTTTATATTTCTATAGTATTTACACATGACTGTGCTTATAAAAAGATATTATACAGGATGATTCAGAAAGGTATACAACAATATAAACCATTGGTTGGAAGGTGGAATATGGGTAAAACTTTTACAGGGATTTCAACAAATTTCTGCTGGTCCAAGTTTTTTTACTTGCAAAAAACCCTGTGTTTGAAAAAATTAGAATTTTTAAAGGAAATTGATTAAAATTTCTAAAATAAGGACTAACTTTATTATCGTATATTATTATATTCTGTAGAATTAATTATACTCACTGTACTAAAATAAAATTATTCATGCAACAGAAATTAATTATACAATTAAACCTGTAAGTAATCGGTCACTTTGTGAGAAATTTGATTTTTTTTACAATTGTTTTAAATTGGTTAATAATTATGAAAGTTAGCCATTTAAGTCAACACAACTTTTTCTTTTGCACTTTGGATATTCATTTGTGGCCCCTCCTCCTCACCGGAAGCAATTTTTTTTATGAAATTGTCCCAACTTTCTGGCCCTGAGATATTTTACCACTCTAAGAAGTCACCATGTAGAGATACACGTTGTGAAATTAATTTCCAAATGCTTACTTTACATATATGGCAGATCCGACACATTATTCAATATTTTCATAATTGAATATTTAAATTCAATTATGCAGATATCAATTACATGATAGTAGCAAAACATTACATTTTTTAATTAATAAAATTCGATAAGTTACTGCAGCATACCAGGTATACAAAGTACACCAGGAAAAGTTCCTAAAAGAAAATATTCGCTTCAAAAATTTTGTTTCCTTTCTTTTCTTACAGATAGAAAATTGAATACAAAAAAGATTTCGCCCGCTTTTATTTTGTTTGCTATTGAAATTCAGTACAGCACTTTTTTCATATCTCATATTGTCCTATCGATCAAATCAATTTATACGTCATAAATTTTAGTATACATCCGGACCAATTAATTTATACGTCACCAATAATTGCCAATCCTCTTATTTTTTATTACTGTCAAATAAAAAACTTATCTTGCAAATTTTTGTGTTAAAAAAAGTTTTTTTTACTTTATCATCATATTTTTATAATTCAAGTTAAATGGAAAGAAAATAAAAATTGAATTAATTTATAAACTTTATT